AGAGTATGAATATTTAAAACAGGGCTTTGGCATCATATGGGTGAGTGAAGCCACCAGGTGCTCTCCTTCAGGGCCCTGCAGAGCGGCCGCAGAGCTGTCACTGCAGTCCTTAGGGACCGTGAGGTGCCACCACGTCCCTGGTTTTGGAAGTGCCAGCTGCCGGTGGCTGAGGGCAGCCTCAGCTCTGGAGGTTTGGGTCCAGGTGCTGGAGTGGTCGACCTCCTGTTTTCTTGGAAGAGCTCAATTTGGCAGATATTCTTAAGGCAGGCCTTGCTGCACACTGTCCAGCTGTGCTGGTCTCAGGTGCAATGGAACGTTTGTTTTTTTTTTCTTTTTTTTTTTTTTTTTAACATCCTCCCAGTAAAGGACAGTTTTCTCTGTACTTCCAACTTCTGCAGTAGTCAAGTTTGCTTGTACCGTGGGGTAAAGCTGTTTCCAAGATGCTGGAGATATGAGCTGGACCTTGTCTTATGTGTGATCCCTTTGGTTCTGGGAGAAGAGGGTGTGAGCGCTTGATTTGGGAGGTTCGGGGCCAGGGCATGTGGATGGGTAGACGTGTCTGCTTGTGTGTATCTGGCTTGACGCTCCCTGGGTTTTAAAAGCACCAGCGGGATTTCTTCCCAATTAAATGCAGATACCACCTGTTACTGCTTCTTTGAACTACATTTGCCTTCACTCCCTGCTTTGTAATGAATTTATGATTTTGCATTAAATAAAAGATTCTGGCTGTGGTGTCCAGGTGTTATTTTTTTAAAAAAACAAATTACAGCTATAAAGACAATGATGCTCAACACTGCTACTGCAGGCTTTGTTGTTACTTAGCCTTAAATTTAACGATCTCTTCTTTTTTTTCTTTTTTTTCTCTTTCATTCCAAAAAACAATAGCAGCTTTTGCCTTTTTATTCTATTTTTTTTTTTTTTTTTATTGGTTCCAGGCTCCTAAGTGATCAGTCCAAGTCCTTCTGCCTTGTAGCACGGCTTAGCTGCTCAAGTGGCTGCCTCATTTATGGGCAGACATTTGAGTAGTTCTGAAAAAATTTCCCTCTAAGGCCTTCAGAATATGATGGAAGTAAGCAGAAATTGTCTTTGTGGCTTTGTGTAGAGGGTGCCTTGATTCATGTGCTGTTGAGCCAGCTATAATTGTTAGTGCTGTGGACCGTCTCTTGAGTATTGTCCTAAAAGATGGAAATAATAGATGGTTTTTTAGTTCCAGTTTTCAATTTGAGTTAAGCTTTAACCACTCTCTGTCCAGTGCCTCGGAAGCTTAAAATAATTTTTGAAATACCTTGTGGATAATTAACGCTGATCCAGGAAAGGGGCCTGCATTCTTTAATTTGAAAGATACGGTAATGTTTAGTAGAAATTGATGTTAGATTAACTTACTGTAAACATGTTCCTTTTTCTAGGTGAGTTATGAACATGACACAGGGGACCTTGTAATATGATCTTTTATCTTTCTGTGAAGGTATAAGGAACCATGTACTTGAAGATAAAGAGTGGCGCACTTGTGATAGTTCATTTGAAAACCTGATAGTTACAAAATATCCTTGATTTGTTGAACATTTCTTCACAGAAGAAAAAAAATGGTTCATTGTGAATGATGTCCTGTTCGCATTCCTTTGGTTACAGGTTGACCTCTGTAAATGGGAGATACTCCTTACCTGTTAGAGAATTTGAAATAGTTCCTTGCTGATTTTTCTTTTTCAGTTTATTTGTGGTATTGTATCTGTAATATGCAGGTACATTTGACAAAAACGAATTTGGTAGTCGAAATACAAGTCGTGTTTTACTTGAAGGTATTCCGACTTCGAATACTGAAGCAATAAAATATGCACAAAAGTAGATGTTGCAAAGAAATAAAAACTACCAAGTGTGATACCAAGTGTACATTGCTCCTGAAACTTGCATATGAATTTTGGCCTGGGAATGTTCTTTCTGCATGAAGAAGCTTGTACCTCTTGAGGAACCTGTGATGTTCTGTCAGCAGTCCTTAGCAGAAGGCGTTGCCAAAGCCATGTCTGCAGCTTTCCTTAATGCAGTTACTGTGCAATTAACTGCTTGCTTGAAATACTTCTCTGTCTCCGGAGGTCAAAAAGC